GGAAATGTGGGCATCAGGGATGTAGCCTATCTCCATACCTTTTCAATCAATGTGCAGAATAGATCATGCAGGAGGCTGCACTTTATGAGGAGGAATTTGGCATCAGGATTGGAGGAAGACGCATCAACAACCTGTGTTATGCAGATAAACAACCTTGCTTGCTGAAACTGAGGAAGACATGAGGTTTTTGCTGAAGGTCAAGGGCTCTAGTCTTCAATATGGATTGAAGTTCAACATCAAGAAAACAAAGAATCTTACCATTGGGCCAATTGGCAGATTCATGATAGATGGTGAAGAGACTGAGATTGTAAACAACTTCAGCTTGCTTGGTTCCACAATCAACACTCTTGGCAAAGCTCTCTAGCAGGGTTCAAATCCCAACTCTGTCCTTACTTATTCTGGGATACAAATGCAAAGTACCACTTAAGGTACTGATGTAAAATTGGCATAATAGCCCCAAGAATACTGTGTTGACAGACTAGGATCAATGGCTATGTGTTGAGTGCAGACCCTAGCCTGTAACAACTACTAGTGAAACTCAAATACGGCTTTGAGATGAGGAGAAGTGTGTTCAGAGAAGTGAAGGCATTTTGACAAAGACTCAGCAGAAGTGTGATAAAAAGGTAGGCCTGTCTCACTCCAAAGCCAGGGAGTTCTAGTCCTTCCCCACATGTCACCTATTGTCATTATATTGATTCTGACTCCTAGGGAGCTCTAGTGGCTTGTTGTTGTTATGTGCCATTAAGTCACCTGCAATTCCTAGTGACCCTATGTACAACAGCTCTGAACCCTGCTCTATCCTGTGCCCATCTTACTGTCTCTGACACTCCTACCCCCATTACCCCAGTCACTGAATCAATCTATCTCATTTAAGGTTTTCCTTTCTTGCACTGTTCCTCCACCCTCCCAAGCAAGATGTCCCTCTCCAAGGACTGGTCCCTTTTTGCAACATACTCAAAATATGTCAGATGAAGCTTCGGAATCTTTGCCTCCAAGGAGTAGCCTGGTTTCACCCTTTCTAGGAAAAACTTGTTTGTTCTCCTAGCAGTCCATGGCATATTCAATACTCTTCTCCAGCACCACAGCTCAAAGGCATCAATTCTCCTTCTATCATCCCTAGTCATTATCCAGATTTCTGCTGTATAACAAGTAATTGCAAAGACTATGGCATGGATCAGGTGCACCTTAGTCTCCAGACTGACATCGTTGCTCTTCACTGCTCTGGTGAGGTCCCTGACAGCAGACTTCCCCAGTGCAAGTCTTTTGATTTCCTGGCTGCTGGTACCAAGAGTGTTGATTGTGGAGCCAAGCAAACCAAAGCTGTTAACGATCTCAATCTCTTCACTGTCTATCATGATGCTGCCAATCAGCCCAATGGTGAGAATATTTGTTTTCTTATGCTTAGCTTCAATCTAAGGCTGGTGGCTTAGAGGTAAGGAATTGTGCTGCCAATGCAAAGGTACATGGTTCGAATACACCAGCTCCTCTGAGGGAGAAAGAAGGGCAATCTCCTCCCATGCAATTTACTGCCTTTCAAAACCCACTGGAGGCTCAGCTATGGGTATGTCTGGACTCTCCAGTACTCAACAAATACAAAAGTGATTCTAAAGAACAAAGAAGAACTACCCGAGAGGGTTACCAGGGCTGCAAATCTGTAATTTAACAGTCTCTCTAAGGAGTAGTTGGCGGGTGCAAAGCAATAACCTTTTAGTTTGCAGCTAAACACTTTAAGCACCTCAATACCATGGCTCCCTGACCACTCCCTAAACCAGCACTTTTTCCATTTCAAGCAACACCTAATGTTTGAAAGTATTTATTAGAGTCTCAAATAGTAGTGGGGCATGGGAAGTATTAAATATCATTGCATCACACATAAAGGTAAACATCCTTGATGACACCTTGATTTTCATTATATTTCAAGTGTATGTGTGCGTTAGGATCTCAAAATCATCTGAAAGCCCTTATGGACACCCATGTTTATTGCAGCTTTGTTCACAATAGCAAGGAGTTGGAAACAACCTAAGTGCCCATCAACAAACGAATGGCTAGAGAAGCTGTGGTATATTCGCACAATGGAATACTATGCTGCATTAAGAAACAAGGAACTCATGCAATATTACTCAAAATGGTTGACTCTGGAGAACATTATGCTGAGTGAAATGTCCCAGTCACAAAGGGACAAATATTGCATGGTGCCACTGTTGTAGAATGGGACTGTCCTTGGGGTTGGGGAGAGACTGAGTAAGATGGGTTCAATAATGTATGCTGCTCTGAAACAGAGAAGGGAGAAAACTGTTTAAAAGAGATATGTGATTAGGTATTTTGGTCATGACAGGAGTCTAGAGCGATGGCTACATGGTGGAGTGGACCTGGGGGAGGGTTTGTAAAATAATGAAAGAATCTTTTCTTTTACTTTTCCAAGAGGGTAATGTCTGGTGGTGGGGAGCCTTGGGAGGGGACAAATCTACAACAATGAATGAATGGAAATCCAAAGCCTCTGTAAATTTTCACTGAAATTAATAACAAATTTAAATTTAAAAAAAAAGAATTAAGTTAGAGTAAGGATGGCAATGGAACCACCTTACCTCTGTAACTTGATTTGTGCTACTATTAGAACCTCTACTCAGAATATTATTGCTTTTCAATTTTTGACTCATGCACTTTTAACTTGTTAGTTAAATTTGTATCTTCTAGGCTGCAACACTTCCATGATACATCTCCAAGGATATGAACATGTACGGCTAAGCACAATTAATAACAGTGCATCTAAATTCCAAAATCAATCTCCATAATAGTCTATGTGTTTCCTACTGCCAAGGGGGCCCTTTAGAGTAGTGAGAGAAGACATTCACCCTGAAACCCACGGTGTCCCTTTTCAGCAGGAAGTAGCTAAGAGAATACGCCATCCCCTTTTCCTTATGAATCAGGGTGAAGTCTCTCTCAGGGAGGAGTGATAGGGAATGGCAAGGGACACACTGACAAAGGAGATTAATCAGAACTGGCTTTGACAAGCACTGTGGCAATTGGACAATTAAAACAGACATGAGGGGGGGAAAGAAGAACGAACTGGGGATGAGGGTGGAGAAAACAGTGCAACAATGAATGAATGAAAACCCAAAATCTCTGTAAATGTTCATTAAAACTAATAAAATTAAAAAAAAAAGACAATATATACAAAAAAAAGAAAGCCCTAATCTTGGCCTGCCCCAAGTAGTTTATAAAAAGCAAATGGAAGGGCAGCCTGGGGAGACTTAGATGTGGGAAACATCTGGGAAGTCTTCAGCTGGGAAGGAAGGAGCAAAGAGGGTATGCCACAGTAACCAAGAGTTTGGATTCTAGAGGGAGGGTCAATTCTTTAAACAAGTATTTTCCAAGGGCCCACCCTGTTCTAGCATCTTCGCTGGGCAGTGCTGGGAACACAGCAGTGGGACAATCCCCTGGTCTCTCCTCTCCTGAGGCTCTCTGAGCAGCAGTGGGATCAAAAGTCAACATCATAATGGATGGAGAAAAGATTGAAACTGTCAATGATTTCATCTTGCTTGGATTAATAATCAATACCCTTGATACCAGCAGTAGGAAACTAGGAGACATACCATATTGATCAAGTCTGCTGTCAGGGATCTCTTCAAAATGCTGAACAGTAATGTTAGTTTGAAGACTAAGCTATGCCTAAATCAGGCCATAGTCTTCTTAATCACTTGCTGTGCATCAGAGACCTGGACAATCAATCGAGAAGAATTAATGTCTCTAAATTGTGGTGTTAGAGGAGGGTACCAAATAACCTATGGACTGCCAAAATAACAAACAGGCTAAGTCTTGGCGAAAGTGTAGCCAGAGCGTTCTTTGGAGGCAAAGATGGCAAAGCTTCGTATCCAGCTTATTAGAGGGAATAAAATAGGAGCTAGAAGACTAATAAGTTAGTAACTAAGTCAGGATTTGTGCAAAGGTCTTTTCACAGGGTCCAAGTTAATTAATAATCCAAAGAGAAGTAATCCCAATGTGTTATGTATGTAAAAATCATATGGCATTGGTCTTTCAGTTGTAGACTAACTGTAAAAAATTGTTCTATTAACACAAAATAGTCCAACAGCACAGTCAGATGGTGGATATGATTATTCCCATTTTATGGATGTGGTACTGGATCCCAGAAAGCAGTCAATTTACAGTCACTGTTGTTAGGCGCAGTTGCTCATATCGACCCCTAAGAACAACACATTTCACCCTATTCTATCCCGTGCCATCATCATCTCAGACATACTCGATCCCACTGCAGCAAGTCACCGTGTCAATCCATCTGATTGAGGGTCTCCCTCTCTTTTGCCAACCCTCCTCATCTTTCTTAGCTTACGGAATAGCCTCTTGTTGGTACTGTATACAACACTAGCAAAAAAAGAAATGAAAAATCCGAATTTGGCTTCAGAGACTTAGAACCAATACGAACAAAGTGGAGAAAAAAACCCCTCTCTGAAGCTCCGCTCCAGGGCTCTTTAAAACTCACAACCAGGAGGAAAGGCAGGGAGTAAAACAAGATCAAAGCGTATATAAATGGAGACCCTGAACTGCCCGGAAATAATGAATGCGGTTAGCCTCCGGGGAAAGCCAGCGCCGGAGTCTCACCGCGCCTGCGCATTCCTGCCTTGCTTTCTAGTCTCGCGCCTGCGCGCAGGTTCTTCTCTGACTCCGGCCGGCCTAAACTTGCCTAACGAGAGCAAGTGCCAGGCTCAAAAACCTGCGGGTTTACCTCGCTCTCGGGCACGTTCTCTTACTGCGCTTGCGCGCTCCCAGTCTTCTCCTCCTTCACCCTCGCTCTTACATCACTTCCTGTTTGTGGCGGGAGGAGGCGGTATTTCCGACCAGCGGGTTGGAGGGGGCGGTAACGGGGGCAGGGGGGAGGGGGCGGGGGGGGCCGCGCTGCGCGAGCCGTTGGGCCTGGCTCTGAGACAGCGTCGCCTCTGCCGCTGTTGTCGCCGCGGAACACAGGAAGCGGGAGCAAGCGCAGTGTGGCGATGGGCTGGAGAGGAGCCCCTCCGGCGCGGCTGGGCGGCCATCGGTGACAGGTGAGTGCGCCAGCGCGTGTCCCCGAGTCCTCCACCCCCCCCCCCCGCGCCCGATGGTCGCGTCCGAGTTCCCCGCGGTACCGCGCTGGGCCATACCACCGGTGCCTGCCGGGCGGGGATCTCGGCCCCGACGCCCCCTTTCCCCCACCTTCCGAGACTTAGTGAGGTGGTTGCGCCGGGGCTACAGGACTGCCCCTCCGGGGCTGGGGGCGGTGGCGACGGACTGTACTATTGAGGTTGCAGGGGGATCTTCGAGGACCAAACCCTTGAGGGACTGGGGCGAGAGCGGAGGTCATGTGAGGGGTTAACTGTAAAGGGGGCGCGCATTACCCAAGGTGGGGGGAGCGGGACCTTTTGTGGTCTCCCGGAACCCTTCCTTGCTTGTATTTGGAAGGGAGGGGTCTTAACCTAACCTGCGCCGCGTGTGGGGTCCTCCTCTGACCGCAGAGGGGCGCTGTTTTAGCGCAGGCGACTGGAGTGTCTGCTGTAAACTTTGAGGGGCTGGGCGGGCTCAAAGTGTGTGTTTAGGTGCGTTTGTTTTGGAAAAAGTTGCAGTACCAAGTATTGGGAATTGTCCTTTTTTCATGACTGGGTAAGGAGTGGGTGGAACTGAGATGTTTACTGGATCGCTTTGAACCCCAGCACCCTCTCAGATTATTTTGCCTTCTTTTAAGTATGCAACATCCGTCTGGCAAGTTCTTTCATTTTTATGTTCGAAGGCAGAACTTTGGTCTCCATAGACCTCAGTATTAAAGGAGGGGAAGGATATGGTGCTTGGGTTTCAGGAACTGTTTGTTGCTCCTGAGCGACTGGTTGAGATTTGGGAGGAAGGAGTGTTTGAAGGGATTCTTCTAACCCTAGGCAGGGTGGCTGGGGACATCTTGACCTTTGAGTACCCTCCTCTTCTCATTTGAAGATGGTGGGAACGCTATGGGCATGGGCTGGAGTAATTAGGCTACCTGTGGTCTGTCCTTCAACCTTGCCCACTCTTTCCCTTCTCAGAGAAGCAGCAGGTATGCAGTCTGGCCTGACCCTTATAGTTACTTAGGGGTACTTTGAACCATGGATGTTGCATACACTTCAGCCCAGAACCCTTTCAGATGACTTCACCTTATTTTAAGGGGTGTCCTTGTGCTCCTAACTCAGAGGCTTCTCTGATAGATGGAATCCACTAGTGACTGGGATGCAGAAAGATGGATATTCTCCTTCTGTATGATATACAGCCTCCTGAAAGCATGCTGGAGAGTCAGCAATGAGTCACTTCCTACTAGACAGCAATAAGATTTTTTTTTAATTGGAACACCTCTCTGGCAGGTTTCTTTCCTCCCAGAGAGTAGGGTCAGGCCATCCCTGGTCAGTAAGCTCTCTTTGTTTCCCAGGTTACCTACCAGTCAGCCCGGCATGTTTATGCTCTCCACCAGGTTTAGCTATTTTCCCCAAATATTCCTCTTTTCCTAGACCAAGGAGGCTTGGAGTTGGGGACAGAGCTGAGGGGCTACTCTGAATGGCTTAAAATAGTTAGCTTACCCCGAGTCAAGTTTCTCAGTGAGCTAGCCACCCACTTAGGGCCACCACCAAGCCAGCTTTTACCACCCCTGTTTCCAGGCCAGCTTTTGAGCTTGGCTTGCTCCATTCCCTTTGCCCTGAGTCTAGAGGTCTCTGAGGGCTGGCTACAGTCCCTGAGTGACCCAGTCAGAATTGCCTGTTGATGTGGTCAGAGGGGCAGATGGTTACTTCTGGTCCACAGCTTACAAACTGCCTGGCCTCCAGGCAGTCCCTGGAGAGAAAAGTCTCTGGGAGGCAGTGGTAGCTATGCGGGATGTCTCTTCACTGTGGGTTTATACCTCTATTTTCACCTCCTTCCAGCGCCAAGGAGACTTGCCTTGTGATGGGAACAGTGTTAATAAAACAATAATCATGAAAAACAATATCTGACATTTCTTGAGTGGGCATTTTGTGGGCCATACACAGTTTAGGATGCTTTATATGGATAACCTAATGAGTACTTCTCATTTCAGAAGGGGAAACTGAGGCACGAAGTGGCAAATCATTTCCACAGTTAGTATCTAGTTACATATGACAGGCCTTCTGGACACAAGATCTTATCTGAATCTCAAAACACCTATAGGTTATGTATGGTTATATAAGCCCAAAAGGTTAATACTCCTGTCTGCTAAGCGAAAGTTTGAGGAGTTGAAGTCTATGCAGCAATGCCTCAAAATTAAAGACTTGACAATCTGCTTTCATAAAGTTGACCCTGGAAAGCACATGGGATTGCCTTGAGTCAGAGTCCACTCAACAGACAACAGCATTTGGAAACTGATAAGACGCAGGTAGCAATATGATACTTATCTGAGAAATTTGGAACCTGAGACCGTCTGTCACTGTAAAGTGAAATGACTTGCCCAAGGAAGCTGAAAATGGTCCTGCTGGTATGTGAACCCTAGGCATGGTCTGATCTCAGAGTGATCTTGTTAACTAGTAACTGGAACTGTGGCTTCTGTTTGTGTCTACTTTGCATGGCCCTGGGCTTGAGGCTTTGCAAAGCCTCTGCAGGAATGGATCAGCTGAGTCAGAATCTGAGCCTTTGAGGAGGAATCACTTTGTCTGAGATCTCTTAGGCCCCAATGGGCCAAAGGTGGCTAGAACCTAGTTCTGTTTGCCTCTTGGTGCCATTTGCTCTTTACTCACCAGGGCCCCAGGCTGGTGGGTCTCTGTTACCACAGAGCCTCTGCCATGCCCTATCTTGCCATGTTCCTCTCCTCAGGTGAGGCACTCCAGCAGTGTGAAATGTCCCTCAGTGGGCAGGGGCATCTTACAACCCTGGACAGGATGTATACCAGGAACAGGGAGATAATAGCAGGACAGACATATAAGAGTGGGCTCAGCTACTGGGGGGTGGGGTGGGGTCATGTCCTGGAGCCAGGGTGGTGTGCACTTTTCAGGCCTGGGGATGCGGCCGTGTCTTTGAGTTATATACAGCACTCTTTACATTGGGCTCAAAAGGGCATCTCACCAGTTGTGAGGATTAAATGAAGTCATCTGTGAGAAGCTCTTGGTGCTGTACAAGTGCTCAGTCGCTGTTTATAATTTTAAGGTGTTAAAGAACCAAGATGTGTCTCAGCCCTCTCAAGGGTCCAGGTATCCAACCCCTCCACCAAGATCCAGATATTTAGTGCCCTGGTTTCCGACCTCTGAATTAATTGAGGGAACACATGTGGCCCATGCTGCCTTGTGACCTCAAGCAGGTTCTGTAACTTCTGTGAGCTTGTTCTGTCATCTGTGTCCTGCAGATAATTAGAATTCTTTCAATAGAGTGGTTGTAAATGTTGAATGAATTAATTTGTGGAAAGTGTAACAGTAAGCCTACAGTAAATGTTTGCTGTTGAATGAGTGTGTCTGACACCTGGTGAGCCCTCAGTATATATTGTTAAGTTTTGGGGTTTTTTTTTGGTTTTTTTTATCCATCTTATTAACAGTATTTCTTTATCTTTGCCGAGTCAAACCCTAAGCCAGTCAACTTTTTCCAGGCTGCCTGGCGAGTTACAGGGAAAGGAACACATAGGATAGATGAAACATGGGGCGGGGAGAATGGGAGGTGGAGATCGCTCCTTCACATGGCGAAGAGGATCAGAAAGGCCACCATCAGGCAAAAGAGCCCCATGGCCTCTGAGAGGGCAAAGCCCAGAATGGCGTAGTAGAAGAGCCACTGCTTCAGAGAAGGATTTCTGGCATTACCAATGATGAGGCTCCCAAACACAGTCCCCATCCCAGCTCCAGAGCCAGCCACTCTTACTGTGGCAGCCCCTGCCCCAGTGACCTTGGCTGCTGTGTCAATATCCCTTGAGATAGTGCTGGTGTGGAAGCTGCGACTAGGAATAAAGGAAATCAAGGAACGTGGGGCTGTCAAGCAGCTGAAATTCTCATCTCTCAGTATCTCTGGTTGTTTCAGGACCACTGCAGATAATGGATGGCTCAGCAGCTGAGAGGCCAAACTTGGTGCAGGTACACATTTTCAGGGGATGAGGGGCTGTGGCAGGAAAGCTGCTCCTAGTGCAGAGACGATCTGTTGTTAAGTTTTGTTGAGTCAATTCCGCCTCGGAGTGACCCTGTTAGACAATGCGTAGTCCTGAGTCGTCATCACTTTTTGCTATGTTAGGAGTCCATTGTAACCTCTGGGTTGATCCATTTTCTTGAGGATCTTTCTCTCAGTGGCTTCTTGTTCTTCAAGGATGGTCCCTCCTGTTAATATCCTCAAAGTAAGTGGGACAAAGTTCTTGACATCTGACCTCTAAGCATTCTGGCTGTACTGTCAAAACTGCTTTCTTTGTTCTTACAGAAGTCAGCAGTGTTCTGTATTCTTTACCAGCAACATAATTCAAAGGAATGGATTATTCTTCTGTCTTCCTATTCACTGTCCAGATCTCACGTGCATATGAAACCTACCTTAGTCCTCAAAGGGATATCTTTGCTCTTTAACATTTTGAAGAGGTCCTTTGCAGCACATGCCCAATGTAGTATGCTGTTGTTGTTATGTGCCGTCAAAGTCACTGGTGACTCATAGCGACCCTATGTACAACATCCCTAAAAACTCCGCTCCGTCCTGTGCCAGTTGCACCATCTCCGATACACCCATCCCAATTACCCCAGTCACTGAATCAATTCACCTCATAGAGGGCCTTCCCCTCCTTCGCTTTCCCTCCACCCTGCTGAGCCTGATGTCCCTCTCCAAGGACCGGTCCCTCCTTACAACATGTTCAAAGTATGTTAGACGGAGCCTCAGAATCCTTACCTTCAAAGAGCCACCTGGTTAAACCCTTTCCAGGATGAATCCGTTTGTTTTCCTAGCAGTCCATGGTACCCTCAATACTCTTCTCCAGCACCACAGCTCAAAGGCATCAGTTCTCCTTCTATCCTCCTTAGTCATTGTCCAGCTCTCTGATGCATAACAAGTGATTGCAAAAATCATGGCCTGTATCAGACATACCTTAGTCTCCAGA